TTTGTGTTCAATCCCCCCTCGACTCTTGATACAACCTTACACTATCCCAACAAAGAAGTGTGGATCAAGGTACCTTATAAAGTTCTTGAAGTGCTCAAGAAAATTTTGTTGTCAAGAGAAGTGCTGACTAGATCGAAATCAGGAATGGCTTAGGCCTATTGGTACGAAAGCTTCTAAGTGATAGAAATCCCGAGGAATCTGCAGGCGCTCTTAAATCGCATAATTTTACAACTTTTCTCACCAAAATATGCACACAATGTGATTTCAGATGATCAAGTTTGAAAATTTTCTTGCTAATAGAATGACCTTTCAACCCTAAAAGACAACAAATCTATACGAGGTCACAAAAAAAGAGCTGCATGTCTTGAATATCAGATTTTTTTTAATACCCCCCCCCCCGCTTGAAATGCGGGAGGGTATAGAGTAACCGGTATGTCCGTCCGTCTGTTACGCTTTCGGTAAGATCTCATCTCTTATCCGCAACTCCTCTCATACCACTGAATGAAATTTGATGAAACTTTCACAGAATCTTTATTACATATTGCCATTGTTAACTTCTAGTTTACTTTTTGATCCGACACATATTTTGGGTTTCCCATAGCAAAACATGGACACTGTCATTATATTCATATGGGAGACCGGGGTATCATTTAGTGAGCTAATTGCTCACAGCACCTTTTGTTCATTTTGCATATGGTTTTGGATAAAAAAAAAATAGACTTTTAACATTTGAACATAAATGTGTTGTTCCTTGAGTGTTGGTTGATGGATTGTATGTTGTTTAACGCCGAGTCGGCAATTTTTCAGCCATGTTTCGGCGGACTATCAGTTTATATAATCGGTTTAAGAAGGATCTTGGTTTCTCTGGCGGACCCCAGTGAGCTTATTCATTTTCGAACTCCAAAGAAACGATCTTTTACATGCCAAGGGGGTTGTCATCCTTGACACGGGGCACCATATTACTTGAGTGTTGAAAATGCCAAAATTCCGAAGACAGACTAAAACATATAGCTAATAAAGCTGGAATAGAAGATGTTAGGGGATAATACTAAGTTCTGATAAGTGCTAAAAAGTTAGAACAAAGTGTTCGATGAAATCGGAGAAGAATTTCTTCAGTTACATTTGATGGTGTGCCGAGGGATGTTGAGGTAGAAGTTGATAATGACAGGATTCGGGAGTGATATTAGATGGACGGGGGCTCAAAGGCTTTGGAACACGTACGGTCAAATTTGGAAATTTGGAAACTCTTAAGTCGAGTTGTTTTAACTATTTCCAGATATTTAATGGACTAATCAATATAATATATACTATATATGTGGTAGTGTTAGATTAACGGCATCCTACTAGCATGGGCTAGTGGGTTAACCCTTTAGCTCAATCGGTAGAGCACTGGACTGGCATGCCAGAGGTCCCGGGTTCGATCCCCAGCAGAGGCAATAAAATGTCTCTGTTACATTTGGCGCCCACGTTGGGACCCGGGTGTTCTCTGGCGGGTGAGAGTGATTGCCCCCAGAACTTCGCCCCACAGGCGTCGGCACTCCGAAAGAGATGAGGACATCTTATTCTCTGGAGGGGGACAATGTGGTAGTGTTAGATTAACAGCATCCTACTAGCTTGGGCTAGTGGGTTAACCCTTTAGCTCGATCGGTAGAGCACTGGACTGGCATGCCAGAGGTCCCGGGTTCGATCCCCAGCAGAGGCAATAAAATGTCTCTGCTACATATATATAAAAAACAAACTGTAATTTATTTTCTGCAAAACTAACCAGAATTAAGCAGTTTCTACGAAATTCGAGTGTAACGGACGTCATTTTGAATCTCCATTTTTAGCTAATTAACACATTTCATTTATACGACTAAATTTTCCGATTTAATGTGATCGAATAAGTGTTCTGTTGACATTTTACATAGTTGTACTACGCTCAGTAAAATATTTACAAATACTTTCTCCTATGTAAACGATATTAAGAAATAATTTTTTAATATCCGCCATTTTGAATCGCCATTTTGACTTTTAATTTACAGCTGCGCCATCATTCAGTTGTAGAATAGTGAGATGCAGAGGAAAAAAATACAAATCTACAGTGTATGAATATTTTCAAAAGTAAAATCCTGAACAAAGCGGAATATCGAACAATAGACCAAAAAAATCAGAGAAAATTCGAATTAAGTGTAGAAACCACTAATTTTTCTGAGTTTAACTAATAAAATTAGCATTCTATTATCATTTTTATACTTGTATTACACTCAGTAAGATATTCACACATTATTTCTCCTTTTTGAACGATATTAGGAGAAAATTAGAAAAATTGGATGCCCACCATTTTGAATCGCCATTTTGACCTCTTTAACGCCATTTTCATGAAAGCCAGCATATTTTTTCGGATTCAGCATACTCGAAATAGGTTAAAAAATTATGCTGGACCAAATAATAATTATTTGCCGTTAGAAGTATTTTTTTCTATAAATCGGACCAGACTAATCACCCTATTTGAACCAAAGTTTTTAAAAATTTCCAAATAATCAGGCTGTCAATAAAACAAGAAGTTGCTGTTTTTAAGTTTAATTAACAAGAGTTAAGGCAATGGTCTTGAATTACATTTATTCTAAAGAAGTTAATGAACCCTGTAAAATTGGGGCTTTATTGAAACTCTAACATACAAAACAACTGCTCTTGTGGAACAGACAAATTGACGAACCTTTATTTTCATTTTTTCTCAAATTCGTTCAAAATAATAAATCAATTAAAGTGACATAATTCCCCGACCCAACCACATCATTTACTCTCCTCTGTAATTATTGAACTCAAACAACCATCCTTGGAAACTGAGCAAGGTCTCTTCCATAATCTAAAGGTTATACATATAGTAGTTAAGTCAACATATAATAAATAAATTAAATCTTAGAGATAAACTCTTTCACAGAGTGTTTAAAATGTCCGTTTCTATTCTATTTCAGGTTACAATATTGTATCAGCAGCATATTACTGCAATTACTACTACAGCTACTGCTACTATTACTAACACTACTACTATTACTAATCCTCCTACAGTAGCACCGGGACCATCGCTGGAGCTGTTGTAGGTAGCATTGTTTTTCTAATCATCGTAGCGGTTGTTGCTTTAACTAAAGCAAAGCTCGTTGCAAAGCAACGAGTAGGTCTTCCGTCCTGTTTGACCTGAAGTAACTTTTATTTAAAAAAAAAAGAGAAATGACGCCTCTAATGATTTATGTTGAAAACTGCAAAAGTAAGCCATTTTTTGCTACTTCCTGTTTGACCGGAAGTGACGTCGACGGACGGAAAATTAAGTTTCATGCTTCTAGTGACAAATATTTCCCCAAAACATGTCAAAAACGGCAAAAAAATGCAGTTCCGGACTACTTCCAACTTTGCTTCTTTGATGTATAACAAATTCTCAATACTTTTTGAGATGTTTGGAAAAAAAACTTATGGCCCCTCTAGATCCCTTAATTTAGGGGTCAGCCCTTTTTCCGAGATATCATTTGAAAGATCTTCTAATTCTGCACAAATGATGTTCTATATGTTTTAACAAAATACTTTTAGTTTAGAAGATAAAAAGCAAAATATTAGTAAGTTTTGGTTCTTTTAAGCGTTCTAATTTTTGACCTCTATATAGCGCCATTTTGAATAGAGAAATTGAAAAACAAAAACCGATGTGCACAACTTTAATCCTAAATTTCTGCTCCAGCTTTAGCCGTCTCTGAGCCTTTGTCTGGAAACGAAAGCCTATAAATTTTCATTTAATGGGAAATAACTGAAAACCGGAAGTGACTTTTTGAAATTTTAGACAGCATTCTGATAGAGTTTAGTAACTTCTAGTACCTCTGAAAATTTGAACGAAATCAATTGAGAAATGAGTGAGGTATGAGGCTTCAAAGTTGGCGTCTAGGAAGTATAGAAAAAAAAGAATAATAATCTTTACCAACAGAATCAGTAGAAGGTCTTCCGTTGGAAACGGAAGACCTTAGTTATCTGTTGTAAGAAAAAGAACCGACCGGGAATGGTCATTCAAAACACTCCTGCAGTTCACACTGTGACTACAGGTAAGGGTGTAACTTTATTATTGTACCCAAATCCTTTTTTTTTCCTTTGAGATGTCTAGTGAAATCATATTGGCTTGTATAGAATGTGGTGTACATATCTTAGTATTTATTATAATCGATGGCTTTAAAAAAATATATAATAATTGATCAGTAAGCACAAAATAAAAAGTATGAAATTTCTTGCCACATATGAATTTACAAATTCATAACATCCCTTTAACACGTAACAGATATTAGGATTAAAAAGAATAGCGGCTGTCGTAGAAATAATTATAGTTTGATAGAGCTTTAAAACTGCTTGATAATGCGTATGCCAAACCAATTTAACAACGGGAAACCCTCAAGATATTGTGGAGTAAACATAACTGTTTTTTTTAGCTGTTGCACATTTTTTTGCAGGTACATCAAATTATCATTATTATATATGATTATCTGTAATATATCAAAATTAAGAAGAAATATCGATTTCTTGTGATTGATTGTTACAACCTTAATGATTTTCCAAAAGAAATGTATTTTAAAAGTAAAATACAATTATAGCATAGCTTGCGGAACAAAAATGCACAAAAATACACTTCTCTAGGCAAATCTATAAACAAATATTAAAATACATTTATTTCATTTTGAGTTATCTCTCTTATCAGATTATCAATGAACCTTAAGCTACAATACAATAGTTAATGATTAGTTTTTGTCTCTGTAATATGCTAACTGCTCAATGCAAAGAAAGAAATGCGTATGCCAAACCAATTTAACAATGGGAAACCTTCAAGATATTGTTGAATAAAACAAAAACTGTATTTTCAGCTGTTGTACTTTTTTTGCAGGTACATTAAATTATTATTGTTACATATATCCATAATATATCAAAATTAAGAAGAAATAAATGATTGATTTGTTGTACTTTATATGCAATTTATTTTTTTCTTTGAACAGCTCATTATGGACAGCCAGCATATGGACAACCACCTCCTAGTTACGGGCCACCACAGTCAGGATTCAATCAGTATAATCAGTATCCACCACCACCTGGTGGTAATCCCGCATTCCGTCCATCACCCCCACCTCAATACTAACCAATGAAAATGTCTTATAACCTTTTGCTCAATTGTGCCATTCACTCATTGGGAAATCAGCGATCTTTGTAGAGTTAAATTTTCGAGTTTTTCGAGATATGAAGACGTATTAAAGTCCGCCATGAAATGTAATTTATCATAGATATTACTACACAACAATACTTCATCCACTAACCAATAATTTTCCGTAAAACCACGATTATTTTACCCCACCAAAATATGTGATTTTGTAGTATAGTTATATTTTTATCATTGAAATTTTCAGTAAATGTTTATTCATCATATTTAAATAAATCATAATGTTTTTGATAATATATATTCAAAAATAAAGATTTTATTCTGCTTGAATGCGCACAAGGTACGGTCCTACGGCGCACGGTAAAAATAGCAAGGTTATATTAGAGAAGACACTAGAATTAATTCGTAATAAAAGTTTCTATATATAATATAAGGGTGAAAATTATCCTAATAAGATTCCTTAATCAATTCTGTCGTCTTTTGAAAGACTTCAAGGCATTTGGTTAATTTTTGGCAGTTTCCCGAGCATTCGAAATTGGAAAGTGGTAAACACATACACGAAAAATGGCGACTTTTGATGACGTTACGGCGCACCGGAGAGCAGTTCAGATAGATTAGGATGTTGTAATGACGCCTTACGAGACTTAAAATGAATACAGAAGAACGAAAATATGAAAAATATAACCAGATCTTTAGTATATAAATGAAATGAAAGTTTTCTTAGCGAAGTCTTCGTGGTCGAGTCCCCAGATAATACAAAACATATGGACAGACTGCCATTGTAATAGCAAAGGACGCAGTCACTGTCGACCGTCGATGTGAGATTCTCTTTTCGTTGAATGATGGTGAGAATACTGTCCGTAACTTGCTAATAAATATTCAGAACATCGCATTAGTGTGCCACATTGGTTCCTTATCTGGTTATAGACACTCACGTATGTAAATCAATAAAATTTCTAAATTTAAGTGGGGCTTATCCAACTTTAAGTTTAGCAAAGATGAAACGTGACGCTGTTTTAGACACTTTGACGTTATCATCTGTGCGCCGTAGGGCGATACAGTACATAACATAAAATATCATAATTTGATTATTTATGCATATATCTATTTGAAATTTGCTATGTATGTTCATAATATACGTACTAAAGAGTGGTGAAAATTTCAGAACTCAGTGATAATTATTTTTCAAACTAGCCAACTTGTCCACGATTTTACGGGACAACCCTCGTACATGTATAAATAAAATTAATATGAACAATATTTACAACATATTTATACAAATATGTATTCATTGAATTATCTGAATTCACAAGTTACCCACGAAATTAGCCCCTTAGGACCACCACATCTTGCTTACTCATGAAAATGGATATCCACTAATTCTAAAGATTTCGAAGTAATTCATGTTTAATTCAATGCAATGTTTTTCCTCATATATACTAAACCTGGAGAAACACAGCATTGTAATATGTTGATCTCCCTTTTGAATATGTTAACCGGCACATGAATTCCTCAACTGAAATCAAGAATTATAAAAAAGATAAATCTTGATGCATTTTTTTTCTCATTTTGATCAATTAAATTTACAGAGACAACCTTTATTTTAGCTTTCAACAAACGATGGTAATAATTAGAATAATAATTATAACGCTTGTCATTTTAAGAGGTTGATTAAAAGTTTTCATAATACCAGGAAGAACATGTTTTGAGTAGTTGGCTTCTATATTGGTACTTCCTGATTCAAAGTCTTTTTCTGTGTACGTTTTCCGAACAGACATCAGCTCCTAAAACAGTTAAATTTTGTTAAAGAAGTAAAAAGAAAATCAGTACTGTATATCTAAGAACATCAAAATCATTGCATGATGATATAGGTTTTCGGCAAACCACATGATGTCATTGAATGAATCTCTGCAATTCAGTGACATTTAAAATGATCTTTTAATTTTAGGAATAGGGGTAGTTCATCATGTTTTACATATGATACAAGTACCTTAAAATCTGAAGACATAGGGTTTGAATTTACTTCCCCACAATTAGCATAACATAAATTATCTTGATTTCCTTGTACAATTTGCTCAGTTGTCATACATCTTGATTTCCCAAGGAATGATTCGTTAAGTGCCAGATAGACAGCCTTATATTGCTCCTGGAAAAAAGATATGATGAGATATTAAAATTCAGTTCTAAAACATGCTCTACAATTTGTATTGTTTTGCTGCATCCCATTTCTTCATTTCTATTCGTTATAGTCATATTTCATTAACATTAAAATGATGTAACTGTTCGAATCTAACATTAATGTGCAAAATTTAAATTTGATAAGTTTTCATCTGTTAAAGTCAAACTTATCAAATATACAAGGGATGTCCCACTGAGACATCATTATGAACATTTTTTGAATAGAATCGTAAATAGGGAATATTCAAAAATGCCTCATTTAAGTTACATTCAAAATATCCTTGATATATATAGCACTCCAAAGTGCGATGGTTACGCCAAAGTGTGATGGTCTGCGCCAAACAACTAACGTTTATGACGTAATAGTAGCACTGCATCAAACCTTATTGCCGCGCGCCATGCCAAGGTTTTTAAAATAAGTAAATAAATGCGAAAACTAACCCTTATCTCTCAGACAGGAGACTAACACTCGAGAATAGGTTTTTAACAATAATTTATCACAATATAGCTGATATAATTTCTGCGTGGTTCATATTTTACGAATTAAAAATGAGCGCAGAAAAAGTGGAAAATGGATCATCGCGAAAAAAACCCCGGATATACGGTATCTTGAGTGGGGGCAAGACGAACCCTAATCACTTAACTAGTGTGCGAGGACTAACCCTAATTCACTCGGATTGTGCAATGCAAGGACTAACCCTAATCAATAGAGTGGTGTGTGAGCACTAACCCCAATATCTCTGGAAGGTGCAAGCAATTAGCAAAAATCGATAAAATTGTATTCGAGGACGCATTCAGAAATGATGGCTTTTGAATGCAGGTCAACAGCGTCAAAGATTGACATCAGATCATTTCGACTTCATAAACGTTGTTTGTTTCTCCGCACCATCGGACTTTGGCGTGTCAAACCATCGCACTTTGGCGCAGCGCGTGTCATAGGAAACGAGCTATCGGACTTTGGCGTGACCATCGGACTTTGGCGTCCGTAACGACAGAGAGTCATCGGGGTTTGGCGTCACCATCGGACTTTAGAGTCTTACATATATTAAAAATTCATTCATGTTTAAATAAGAATAAAGAAATTTTCAAAAACTTACTTCCCCTTGTATCATATTCATTCTGTCTTTTCTCATGGTTCTGACGTACATTGGTACATTGACTTTACCACTTATCTCCCCTTCCCGGTAGAGGGCGTCTAGGGCAATGTATGTCCCGGTTCTACCGATTCCAGCGCTGCCATTTTTACAAAATCAAAAATATTATAGCATTTTGAAAAAAAAGATTTTTATGCGAATAAATAGTTTCTTTTTGGATGAAATTCAGAGAAAAAAATAAGAGAAAATAGAATGCAAAATGAGAGTGTTCGTTTTACCTGCAGTGCACAACAATGTATTTTCCGGTGTGTTTAGTGGATACTCTCATCACGTGACGATGAAACACAACAAGACTGAGTGGGGCAGGTACTCCGTGATCTGGCCATCGTGTATAGTGAAACATCACAACTTCCTTATCCTTCTGATCCTGCAAACACATTTAAGATTGAGTTTTCTTAATGATTTCGATTTCAAACAGGCATACTGAAATACATGTACAGCTCCTTCAAATGAATCATTTTTGTAAAAATGAATTCATCTTTTTAATCATTAAGTTTGGAAAAATATCAGGCATAAGAAAGTATATTCTCTAAAATTATTTTTTTTTCAATGAAGATAAAAGCGAATGTGGCAAGGATTTTTTCCAGCTATTATTTATTTAAATGCTCTTTATAATAACATTACCTGTACTGATTTTTCAAGACATATATTTACAACAAAATGTACGTACATTTCGCCAAATGAAAGACCAGTTATCATTTATTCATGGAAATTGACAAGATTTTTCTTTTTTGCATTTTGCAGATTTTATTGACTTTTTTTCACGAACATTTGCATTTCTTCCCACTTAAACATGATTTTCTACACCCGTTTATTGAATAACAAAAAAGGTTATATTTCCTCTCACCAAATGTTTGTAGACCTTGAAATGTCTTTTAGTATAATTTGCGTATACTTTTTCTTCCATGCTTCTGATATTAAAACCTCCATCCTGTAACTTGTCGTTTATGTTTGGCCAATACTGTGCGCATTTGATCTAGATATAGAATTAAAATTCATTTAATTTAATTTAATTTGTTTACTTACAATAATTAAAGTGGTATATTAGATGGAATGAATTAATACATTAATCATTAACAAAAGATAGGAATATAAAAAAAATGTCTTTAGTAAATTCTACCCAAAAACGAAATTATTTTAAAATTGTTAGATATATATGTTAGGTATACATAATAAGCTTTATTAAAATATCAATTATTAAACAAATGGTATGCAAAAATAAACAACAATTCAAGAATAATTTTGGCAAAATGTATCTCGGGTTGATATACATGTATTACATGTTATATGGAAAAAAAAACACAAAAAAAAAAACAAAAACAAACAGAAAAGATATGACTAATGATGTGTGTATTTTTCAACTACCTTTGCGCCCTCTTTGAGATTGGTCAGACAAACAATAATAGAAACATCCTCCTGCCATATCATTTTCCAGAAATCGGCAATCGTCTTAGGCTTAGGACCTAAGAAATGAGTACATATAACAATAAAAAAAAAATAAAAAGAACCTGAATCAAACAACCGGAAGTTTGAACAAAAATCTTATTTGAAGTAGAAAAACGAATATTTTTCTTACATTTAAAAAAACAAACACTGCGACATTTAAGTCCGTATATTGCAAAGTCCGGACTTTTAGGTACCCTTTCGAAAAGACCTACATTAGATTTTTTTCTATATTTTGGTGGATTTTTCATTCTGACCTCATCATGTCAATCTCAACTTCCACATTGTAGTAGTTTTCTCATAAACCTCTGTCAAAACCTAAAATCCCATGGGGAGAATGGCGGGATTTTCCATCCCACCAAAAATCCCACCAAAATCCCATGGGAGAAAAAAATCTTTGAGGGATTTTTTCTCCCATGGGATTTTTTTCTCCCATAATAGGCGACATAGGATTAAAAATCCCATATTTGCCCTTCTTAGGATTAAAATCCTGCAAAGTACATAATACTGGGTATTTTTAATCCCATGGGATAAATAAATAAGCAGATATAGGAATAATGGGATAAGAATGCAATGTCTGAATATACTTTATGAAGCATTTTATCTTCAATTATATACAAATTCAAATTATTTTTTATGTGGCAGATCTAGAGGCATAACAATGCAAAATTGACTGTTATATATCCATTGTTAAACTGCTTTTGTAGAGCCATTTTAATTATAGTGAGGGTCATAAACAAATACTATTGCCAGAGAAAAACTCAACCAAATGACTTGCCAAAGAGAAGAGGAGTGTCTGAAATACTGATTTTTATTTGTTAAGAAAAAGTACAATCAACCGAAAGGGGACTTAAATTTGTGCTAGTGACACTGTCTTATCTTTGTTTGCATACAATACTGAAATCTCCTGATTCTGCTGAGTAATGACCAGTTTCCAAAACTGCTTCCTGATGGAAAAAAACTGCATTAGTGGGAATCTTCTGTAAACACTTGGATGGACAGCAATTCTTCTTTTTAAAAAACTATAATAAAAAAATCCTTTGATCCACCACAAATATTTTAAAATAAAAAATTTACTCCTCAAGGATCCACCACTAATGTAAGTTAAGACCATGATCACACATGGCATGCAAGCTTAATGTTGAAATCAGTTAGCCATAATCATTTATATCCTTTGATCCACAACAAATATTTAAAAAAAAAATAAAATCAATATCCACTCCCCATGGATCCACCACTTATAAGTTTAGATCTTTATCATACATGACATATAATCTTAATGTTTGAAATCAATTAGCTATAAGCCTATAGTCATTAATATCCTTTTACCCATCACAAATACATGTATCTAAAATTAATATCCACTCCCTTTGGATCAACCACAACTACTATATAACATAAATATCCACTCCCCCTTGGACCCATCACTTTAAAATTAAGATCATGATCAAACACGACATATAAGCTAAATGTCTGATATAAATTAACCACAATCATTGATCATTATATTTTTGATCCTGCACCCACCACAAATATTTAAAAAAGATTAATATCCACCCCCTGTATTTACCACTTATAAGTTTAGATTTTGATCACACATGATATATAAGTTAAATGTTTAAAATCAATTTACCATAAACATCACATGATCATTATTGATTCCTTTGACACATTACAAAATTTGATATTTAAAAATATATCTATCCACCCCCTGGATCCACCTCAACTATCAAAACAATTACCGGTGAAATATACATGCCTTTGATCCATCACTTATCACACAAAGAAAGGTTACTTAAATGTTTAAATGAATGTGCAATAATTATTAGTATATGCCATGATGATCTACAATAAGCATGATAAGTAATTAAAAATTCAATATCAACTCCCCTTGGATCCACCACTCATAACTTTGGACCATGATATCACATGACTTATAAGCAAACTGTTTGAAATCAATTAGCCATAATCAAAAAGATAAAGCCTCTTAATTAGATCAACCTACAAATAACTCATTTTGATTTGTCTGGGGTAAATGTGAAATTCAAAACCATGCAATAAACAAAGGAAAATATTGGAACCCATTCCCTTTAGATCCACCATCCTGTCTTTTGGATATTGACCACCAATCTGATTTATATTCTTTATCTTTTAATCATTATGTTGGGTATCTTCATCATCTTTATGAATGAATATATAAGAATGAAATTTAATTACATCTCGTATGTTTCTCTTTATTAACCTAACTGAAATAACCACCTACCGGCAAAAAAAAAAACCCAGGTACATGTAATGAACATGATGAAATAAGACATTTTTATCAATGCATTCAAAGCTTAATACTATGGTGCTTTATTTACCACTAGTTAGTTTTTGAAATGTATCCCTATCACCATGATCACATCCATCAGCTTGACTATTAAAACTACATTGGATAACAAATCAATTAAGTTTTTACATACATTATGTTCACTATAATTAATGTTAGAATTTATATGTAGGAAGTGAACAATAATTCTTTATGTTTCTAATTTAGTGTTACTAGGGGTTTTGAAAAAACATCAAATTGTGAAAATGTTTGCATTATTCAAATAAATATACAAAAACAAGATGTGTTTGTGAAACACTGTGCCCCCACAGGAACAAAGTTTGAAAAAGCTATTCTTAGCTTAAAGGTTACAGTCAAGGTCACAAGGTCATTGACCTCGGTGTTGTTTGAAAGCACTTAACTAGTGAAGTAGGCATACCAAATATCAAGTCTCTATCTCCGATTGTTTAAAAGTTATACCGAAAGTTCGAAAAATCTAATTTTAGCATATAGGTCACAGTCAGGGTCAAAAGGTCATTGTCCTTGGTGTCAGTTGAAAGTGCTTAATTAGTGGAGTCTATGCATTTTATATATGAAGTCTCTATCTTGATCTGTTCAAAAGTTATGGCGAAAGTTAAAGTTGATAACAAATAGAACAAGCATTCTGAGAGTATTGCATTTATAAGCAATACATGCCCCCTACCGGGTTCCCCTTTTTCTTCTGGATGTCATTTTATAATATGCAAAAGTCATGTCCAAGGTAAAACTGAAAGATTTTCAAGTTGTAAATGCCTTAAAACTAATAAAATAATCCACATTAAGACAAAAATTCAACTCATTTCTCCACCGTCCTTTCCTCGCTTAAATTTTTTTGTCGACAATGGAAGTTGCGCATTTGAATCCGATCTCACTTAAGCGATTATGAAAAAATATTCAAAATGCCCTAATTCTGTCAAAAATCAATGAAGCAAAGAAAAATTCAAACTTATTGTAACTCATTAAGATACACTCACATACCAAAATTCAGCTCAATATCCAGGGTCCGACACTCGTCAAAATTTGGTCTCGCCATTCGGGCAACCTTTGGGATAACACAGGTTGCCCGAATGAATTTCAGGTCGTCCAAATAAAATATCAATTGAAACAAAACTTATTCAGTGTTTAAAATCTGTTATGATAATTAGTAGAAGTTGTGTTTTTGTATTAAAAAATGTAAACCAGACATTTTTGGAATGTAAAGATGCCTTCTAGTATTTTATCAAACAAAAATATAAGCAGAATCAGACATGCAGAATGCTAAAGTTTGTAGCTTAAAATATTCATTTTCACTTGCCATGAAGGCCTAAATAAAGAGGGTCAAATAACCCTGGACTAATTTAAACAGGTGTTAAATTCAGTGGACACCCAACATGGTTTAGCAGCAGAAAACGATCATTATGATCAGAAAGTTGTTGGGGAAATGCAAGATGTTACAATGATGATTGTTACTATTTATATTTAAGGTGATGACTAAGTTGGAATATTTTATATCTCAAATAAAATTTTATTAAAGACTTTTAGAAAAATTGCATCAGCTGATTGATCGACGCAGATTTGGCAGGAGAAAAAAAAACTACTCCATGTTTTGAAGGTCTTATGAAGTTTAATTTAAAATAGTAAACATCATTATTAGGCCTTAATATTCCCAACTTGTCCCAGGTCGTCATTTGGGCGAGCCAGACTGAAAATCAGGTCGTCCGAAATCATTTCAGGGTGGAAATGACGAGATGACGAGCGCGAATGTCGAACCCTGTATATCTGCAAGCGTTTTGAAAAAAAGTGTGGAAAACCAAGTGGGACAGACTGACAGGGACAGACATCTAGACAGACGGACGGACGGACGGACGCGGGGGGGAATTTTGTCCCCCCCGGGTTTTACCGGTAGGGGACTAATAAAAGTAGGTCAAAATCCAAAGGGAAGAGGTCAAATTTGGTGGTACCCAAAGAAAGGTTATGTCACAAGTAACACACCTATGAATTATAAAGCCATAGCCCCTACCACTCAATAGTTATGGGCTAGGTTAAAGTTGGGTGACAAACAGACAGACAGACAGACAGGCAGGACAAAAAAAAACCCCATTTTATCCAGGGGCATAATTAAGAACATAATTTCCAGATTTCTTTTTCATCAAACATAGTTTTGGAGGGGTTAAAAACCATATAAAGAAAGTATTCAAAGTATTGTACCCAGGTCCTTCATTAAATGAAATTCTGAAAATAGGGAAGATCCTAATAAAGTTCAAAATACCGGTATGTTGCGTATGACCTTTAGAGAACTGAATTTTCATTCTGCATAATGCAGTCAGGCGATATTATACAAATATGGACTCAATGTAGGTCAATATGCATTTATAATACCCAGGATGACAGATATTGACCAAGTTACATGGTTTATATCGACCGAGGGCGCTAGCCCGAGGTCGATATACTATTTTCTGAGGTCAATATCTGTCATTGGGTCATTATAAATGCTTTACCCTGCATTGAGTCCATATTTATTATATTATATAAATAATAATTTCCCAAAATTTTTTGGTACAATGCCTTCCTAAGTTTACAGAGATAGTATTAACCATAAAAAAGTTGGATGAAATGTTTTAAAAATTTTTTAATATTACTCACAGGAAATTGTTTCCGTAATAAATTTTAACCCATAACATATTAATAACGCAAGGTATCTATCTCTGAATAACACAGATACCCCCC